ACTCCCCACCACCCCCACCCACCCCTATGCCGCCCAACCCCCATGCGCCACGCCATACTGACAGGGCTTGGCGGTCAGGAGATGCCATCAGGAGTGAGACCACGCACCCGCCAGTCCAGCTGTGGGGTGGCACCCCTGGTGGGTGGCGGCACTCGGTGGAGGTGCCCAGCACCTCTGCCCGGGCGGCTGTGGAGAACATTGCGGATCAGTCGGGCGATGCTTTGGCACTGGAGGAGCAGCGGGAGGGGCCAGCAGGGGACACCAGGCCACCCAGCGTTGGCATCGGCAACGGGACCGTTTCCCTCGAGGTGGTGCGGACGCTATCAGGCTCGCAGCTCAGGTCGGGGCTGAGGGGCGGCGCATCATCTGCGCTGGCCAGGGCGGCAGCCACCAGTGGCAGCGCCGACGGCGGCGTCGTTCCTACGGTTCACTGCGCCCGCCGTGTGACGGTGGTCACCCCTGCAGAGGAGCCCAGCGACGCACGCCCGGATGCACGCAGCAGCAGCACACCGCACCCGCGATGGTCTTCGAACAGCGACACGCAGCGCAAGGCAGTGGAAGGTGCGCCAGGGCGGGGGGGGGGGGGGCAGGATTATGGTTGAGCTTGGACGTGCTTTCATCATACCCCACACCCTCTTGCAGCTGCCACACACTGGTGTCTACAGTGACGCGTGCCCCTGGCAGCCACCGCTCTCAAGCTTACAGCTGACGTCCGCCTGCCCACCAACTGTTCCCCAACGCACCGGATTGTCACCAGTCGTGGCCACGCCGATCCCGCTGTACAGCGTGGCCGTGCGCGCCTACCACTTGGGCACCTTTGTTTTCAAGGGGGGCGACCCCACCGCCATGGTGACTGTCACCAGCGCGAACCTGGCGCAGCGCACCGCCCTCACGCCACATGACGAGCCCAAGGGCAAAGGTCACCGCGTGGCGGAACGTGTGGGCGTTGCGGACGGCGCCGTTGCGCTGCTGCCCGATGTGCTGGGTGGCAAGATGCGCGAGGCCTTCGTGGGCATGGCGGGCGCAGGCTGGCCAGCCTCGGAGCCGCTTGGGGCTTACGAGAAGTGGCTTGCCTGCGAGCTGGCACGCCGCCGACTGCTGATCGGGGAGCGGCTGCCAGTGCGATTTGAGCCTGCCTAAGCGCAAAGCGGGAGAGTGAGGGCATGTGGGCCGCGCTCCACCGGCCCTGTTCGTGCCGCGGTGCCATGTTGGGGACGCGGCCCTGCTGCAGCTTGCCCCACGCAGCTGCCCAATGCAGCATTGTGGGACCTCTTGACCAACTTGACGCTTCAGGAACCTCACGGCAAATCATCTCCTTTATTTCATGCATGACACTTGAGGTTTGCTGAGTGGCCCTGCCCGCCAGCGATGGAATCGTGGCGCCGTCGTGCAGCGCAATGCACCCTGCTCAAAGAGTTATTTCTTGCTTGTACACCGCCTGGATCCTTGCTGATCCTGCAATAATCGCATGGCGCAGCTGCCATATCCCCTTTACTCGTTGGCCTCCAAATCACCTGCCCCACACAAGGCGCCTGTGCACCCGCACCATGTTTCGCCGGATGCTGACGGCCCTGCAGGGCTTGTCAGGATGTCCAAGCTCAGGACTGCTTTGTTGCTCCCCTGCCCTTGGATCCAAGCGTGCTCCTCGCTGGTGCCGCCAATCAAGGGGGCCCCTGCCCCCTTGTCTTGTGTGCTTGATGGATGCCCAGCGACGCAAGGGATTAGAGTAAGCACACGCCGAAAAAGAGAGGAAACCTGTAAAGTCCTCATCAGTTGCTTTTCCAAGGTGTTGCTAGACGAGGGGGCCCCAGATCCATCGCCTTGGGCGCTTGATGGTAGCCAAGCGGCGCAAGGAATTAGGGAAAGCAATAATGGCACGCGTCAAACAGTAGACTCACACAGTCCTCATCGGTGTATCTACATGTGCATGTTTCCTGTGAGTCGGGGCGCACGGTCCGCCGCTGACGATGGCGTGCGCCACAATGGTATCCGATCTTTGCGGCCGGCAGATCTGCAGCACCAAAAGGTGAGTTGTGATACCGTATTGCTTGAATGTCAGCCATAACATCTGATATCACCCAATGAGACAAAATTGAGATAGCCGATCTGACACCGAGACACCGAGTGTTGGTCACTCGCTCACCTCCGCGTGCACCAACACCGTCAAGGCTACGCAACACGCTGCAACAAAACTCACGATGGCGAACGCCACACATGACAGCTTCCAGGCAACAGCTGGCGGCAAAGGCGCCCCGCCGCCCGCTGCGGACCGTTCGGGTGGGGATGGCGACCTTGCGCCTGCCGACCTGCTGCTGTCTCACAGCGCGCAAGAAGCTATTGCAAACCAGGTGGCAAAGAGCACGTCTGAACGGGGCAGACGTGGCGTATGTTTGCAGGGCCTTGCAAAGCCAGTGTGTCACTCACCTTCAGCCAGGGTGTCCCATCTCCGCTGCGTGCAACAGCACCCAGCCGCTTGCTGTGTGCTGTGCTGTGTGTGTACTCTTGGGTGCGGTGGTCCCTAGATGCTTGTGTTTTGGTGGAGGCGCGCTTGCTTGCTTACTACGGTACGAGCAGCCCTGTGACGACCCTGCGCCTCTCCTCGGCACGCCATACACGTGACTCAGCTGGCCTCATTCTACCTGGCGGTGAGGCACACGCACACACTTGACACCGACTGCTGTATGGCAGCAATTCTCAGCCTGTGCATTGGGTAGACATCGACTATTGCCAAGTTGAAACGCGACTCCCTGTGTGCTCCCTGCCCTACCGTGCTCTGCTCCACCCTGCCCTACCCTGCAAAGGCGCTGGCGTTCCTGGCGGCGTGCAGAAGCCCGGCGGTGCTGAGGTCCATCAAGCGGGCCGCCAAACCGCTGGTGATTGCGGCAATATCTCAGTACCTCGCCCTCATGGCCCTGCTGGCGCCCATCAATCTGGCGCTGCGCCTGGTGCGAGAGTGGCCTTGCACATTTCAGTGCTGATGCTTGGCAGCTCATTGCGGGCTTGCGGGCCGGCCTCGTCAATGGGCTTGACACTTTGGTGTGGCGCTGGCGAGTCTTGGTGCTGGTCACGAACTTGCCCTCCTGGCCGTGCAGGTGTCATTCGTCACGTCAACGCATTCCCTGGCGTTTTCTGCCCATCGTGTTGTGAGTGGCAGCATGGCCATATACCCACTGATCACTATCATCCTGGGAAAATTTGGTAAGGGCCAAACCTTGTGCAGGCAAAGAAGGGGTTTATGCGTTGGCACCCATGTGGTTTGAGGTTGACATCAGGGCAGATCCTTCCTGTACAGCATTGCCATCAATGAGCTTGTGGCAAACAGCACTTCTGCGTTGCAATGGAATGCACCTGTCATGCTACCAGTTCCGGCTTGGCCCCCCTCCTCTCACGAAATCACCGTCACTGACCAACCTTATTTCCGCCACATGCCACGGCCCCAAACGCGCCCAGTGTACAAGCGCTACCTGGTGGACTGCTTCTTTGCATCGCTGCGGGAGCTTGACCCGCAGCAGGCAGAGCAGCTTGCCAGCAACGAGGCAAAAAACAAGCGCACCTTGAAAGACAAGATGCTGGTGGGTGCTGTCCATCCCTGGTCCTCATGGGTCACAGATGGAGTTTGAGTAATGCCTGACCTGTGGTGCAGACCATACCTGCAGAGGTCGCCTGATAGACAGAATCTATCTTCTTGCCAAGGACGATCAATCTCGCCCAGCAGCTCCCTGCCCTTTTCACTGCCCCCTCCAGGGCATGGTGACTGATGACGCCGACGATCCCTGGCAGATGCTGGTGAGCTGGCGCACTGCGGGGCGTACGCTGATCCTTGGGGAAGGTGATCGGTCTGCTTCGCACGGTTGGGGCCGCCTGTAAGGATGATGCACAGGGCGCTGCTGCGTGTCGGGGACATGTATGCGGCCTGCTGCGCTCACTGGTGTCCCCCGCCCCTTGCAGGCCCTCATGATGGTGGCCTCTCTGCTGCGGTCATGGCGCTGGGTGCGAATGGGTGCGCTGGGCTACATTGTGGTTCCCCTCGCGGAGTTCCTCAGCATACGCTACATGGTGCGCGGCTTGGGCCCTCCCACGCATCTGCAAATCTGTGACGTGCTCACCTGGCCGCCACACCTGGCACAGCTGACAACAACGCGCAGCACATGCATTGCGGGCTTAGGCTAAGCCAGGCCCCTGCATCGCCAACTTTATTCCGGACCATCTCTGCTTGGCCACTGCTGTCCATGCTGCTGCAGGTGGGGAGGCCCTTGGCGGCAGGCGCTCTCACTGCAGTGTCGTGCCTCGTCCCGCCTGCGGCTCCCCTGGTCATGGACTCTGTGGAAGTTTGGGCCAGTAGTCGCGCCCTGGGGCAGAGCAGCATGCGCCACTTTTTGGAGCGCGCCATCCCGAAGGGGCGCCACGCCGCCTTTGTCAGGTGCAGTGGTCTGCGCAGCACGGGATGCGCATAAAACAACTCTTTAGGGGCGGAGGCGGGGCATGGTTGGGATGTGGAAGTGTGATGTCTCAGGGTGAGAAATCGACCGTACAAAGGCAAGCCAGGTCTGGTCTAATTTACGTCGTGTTGTTGAAAGCCGGCACACTGCGCCACTTTTTGCTGTGGTCATCAGACCGCACTGGCTTCTCTTGTTGGGTGTCTGGATTCGACATTGTCGACACACACACACACACACACACACACACACACACACACACACACACACACACACACACACACACACACACACACACACACACACAC